GCCGGGGCAGTGCCTATCTCCTTACATAAACGATGAACCTGAGACTGATCTCGTAAGGTACTCCTCGCAAAATGAATAGTATCCTAACCCGTTATAAGGAGCAGCTGGATCAGCTCCGGGTGGCCGCGGAGCACGGTCGGTTGCCGGCAGCCGCGCATCCTCGAAGCAGCCCAGAAAGCCGCTGATCGAAGAGTGCTTCAAGAATGATGGAGACAAGCATTCCCGATGGAGCAGCTTGCTTAGCAACATATGTACGCGATGGAGTCGGTTGCTACAAGAAAACTACAAGCTAAATATGCCTGTTAAGGTTCTGAGATTCGCAAAGAGATTGGCCAGCTGGCCCAGCTTCTGATGGACTTGCCCGAGGGTTCCCAGCTCAAGTCAGACCTTGAGGATTATCAGCACCGGCTGTTGCAGAAGGCCGAAGAGTGCCTTGATTTTTAAGCAGAAAATTTCCCAACTCACGCAACTAAAGACCTGCAACCCCTAGAGCCTGAGTTTACAACCCGCTCAACCCAGAATCCTAATCCACTTTAAGGTTCAAGTCTGCGAAGACTTCACGAGCAATGGATCCTCTGTGCCAAGACATTCATGCTCTTGCTACTGGGTTGCCCTAGCTTCGTCTTATTTGATTGGATTTTCGGGTCTAGACGTCTGGCCTTTGTGAAGTCCAATGAAGCTGTGTGTCCAGGTCGTGGAGCTTGCCTTGACAAAGGCGCAGTCGCGAGCGATCATCAATGAGCTCAAAAAAAGGGGCTGAGAGGCCAAAGGCCTGAAGGCTTCTGGATCCGTGTCAATTGGGCACTTTTGATCCCAGATCATTCTGTTAGATGCAAGGGTGATATCAGTATCTACTGCTGTGGATTGGTGAAAACACATGTTTGTGCGATGCTGCTTTGAGGCAGCGTCTGCAGTGGAGGCCATGCAACTGTTCAGGTGTATGGATTAAGGAGTTTGGGGATTAACGGTTCAAGGCCGCAGGGTTTGTGAAGTTTAGAATCTGCGAGGGTGTATCCCACAAGCCGTGCATGAACTCAAGACTGTGCAAGCGTGGCCTCCCTAAGTCTGTCGTGTACCGACACAATCCTGGGGTTGCATCTGTACATAGTGCCAGCCTACCTGTTTTAGAAATGATTCCTAAGGTGGGCTTATCTAGAGCTGTGTGGTGGCCTGGCAAGTACAAGTGCAGGTGGTTGAACCTACTCTGGTGTGAGTGGGCCTGGAGGGGAATGTGAGACATGCAATCTGAAGCACTGCACGGCCTGACCCGTGTGTGCTATGTGACATCCTCGAGCAGACTGTCGGAGTAAAACTGAACATGAGCAGCTGCAGACCGTTTACCATTCGGAGATAAGTGTTGCCGTTGATTCTTGGCGCAAGCAACTAGCCTTGACCAGCCCTAATTAGCTAGATCCCAACAGCCATCCCCTTCGCAGGTGAGGAGCGATCAAAATCTGCCAGCAGCAGCTCAAAGAAGTTGGATGCGAAGTGCCTCGGATTCAAGCTTGCTTGGCACTTGGTACTTTTACGATCGGGTCGGCTGTTTCAGATCACGCAGCTTTGTTGAGGTTTTTGTGTGACTTGAACGAAACGGCGTAGCTACTGGAAGTGTCGTGTGTCATGGTCATGCTGCAGGCTGATTGAATCCACGTGCGGTGGCTCTTTGGATATCTCGCTGGCTTGTGAGATTGGCAGCTTGATTTGCACGATTATTGGATCCCTCAAATCTCCGATAGGAGTCAACAACATGTTAAACCTCTAGCTTGGTCAAAGACGACTAGGGTTTAGGGTATCTTATACTATAAATATACTAAGGA